CATAAATTGCCAACAGCTACTTTAAGCTGATGTGGACAAGCGAGTGGTAGAAATATTGGTCCCTGAAGCCCCTAAGCTGGTTCAGTTGTATTGCAACAAGGGTTTCCAGCAATATCCAAAAATCTTCCTTCGATACGGCTTGGCTTCATCCAACATCGTTTATGTTTCCCTAATCACAGTTTCATATGCTGACTGGACTTTAAAAAACTTTAGAACATATTTTAATACGAAAACGTCGTAGATACTTAACTGATACTTGTTGCCCTGGTTTTGGTAATCCTGGAGTGCATGTGTACGTCAAAGGGGATAAGTCGTGTCGTAGGGAGCACATGCGGGTTTATCGTTCATTTCAATCACTATGCCAATTCCACGTCAGAAAACTGACTGTCTAGGACAGTGGCCTGATACTGCAGGTAGGCAAAAGAGTGGCGTAGATGGCTCAACGCACTTTTCTCACTTTATATATGCTGACGCGCTTCCAGCTATCAGGTTGCGCTAAAGGTCGTAGCTTGGAAGATTGCTAACTTACGAGATAGCTTGAACCACGCGATCAGCCCAGGGTGCGTTTATTTGGAGTGGCTTACCTGCGGACTGAGAGTCAAGCTGCAATGACTGCTTCTTTACTTGACCTTTATGGTACTTCCACTTAGCTGCGATCCGAGCCGTTCCCCAGTTTTCAGTGGTTGTCTTAGTTGTGTTGGCCAACGGTGCGTAGGCTTGCGCCTTCGTCCATTTCCGCTTTCTATTTCGACATCACATTCAGGTTGAAGGAGGAATGGAGAATTAAGTAGATACATCGCACGTTTAGTCTCTCCCATAATTCAGCGCAATTCACATGCACTTCTCGACCATGTTTTGCAGCACATAGCAGACCTAGTCAAAAACAGTTGTCGAACAGTTGTCGAATATGTTCCTCTAGTAAGCCTTTATAAACTTATAAGTCACTAAATAAATAGTTTCTGACATCAACATTACATATAAATTCCCGGTGTATTCATTTTTTGTAAGCCTGCTTCTCCGCAACGAATGTACACAAACGCCAGTCTATATGTAGATATTCAAAGCTTTACATGGGCTATTAATATGTGCTTAATGATATTCGGGCGGGAGGTTGACGTCAAGTAAATCGTGAGTTCTTATGAATCAGCCTTGTGATATAATACATTTATTCTTATCATACAGCACCGAGAGGTATTAAACACTGTCATGATAGCACCAGGAATGTCATTAAAGGGGAAATAAATGTTCTCCCCTGCTATATAGCAGAACTTACATGCTTTGTAACTTTTACATTTTCAAAGACCATAACAACAACTTTACTTCTCAGTGACCCTAGATCCAGAAAAATGGTGCTGAAAATCAAAGTCCTAATTGCCGGTAACTAATGACAGGCAGAATTGCAGCCACAAAGTCTGCAATTGAGAACCGTTAATTGCAATCCCTGCGCTGTTGCCAACTTAGAAGAATGTGCACAAATAATACTGTAGGCACAATATAACCCTGCGTCCGGCAGATGTAGCGTTAAGTGGAAGTACTTTCTAAAGTACTTTTAGGAACTTAACAACAATAGAAGCTTGTAAAGATAAGTAACTGTTGGCTTTTCCTTATAGAACTGACACTCCAATTTTCGCCGAATTTAAAGCTTTCACTAGAACATGAGTTGAATTTTCTTTCAACTCACTTGCCGGAGGATTACTGTGTTCAGTGACTGATGTCTCTATCAAACTACCACGTGTTTAGTTCAAATTGCTTCTAAAAAATACTCTAACAGAAATTCTATCAAAAAGGGTTGCTAATATGGTCATTTTACTAAGTATCACTACTTAAACGGCTGGTTTAAATAACTTCATGCGTTGAGTTCGTCGACGGACAAACCGCAGAGAGAGCTCCGAAGCTAAAATAATCTGAACTACGTCCGCTTCGAAATTCCATAAATGTGTGATCTTTGCTCCATTTGCCAAGACAATTATCAGCCTAATATACTTTCAGCCTCAACGTCCAGGCGCCTAAAGTTTCAGTTTTTATTGAGGAATGTGCTCCGTAGGACGCACAGTGTTTATTTTGTATGAATATATTTTTAATTTCAACCTTTATTACTTAAGACGAAATAAAGCGAATAACCGTTTGCATTCATAAATCGTTGCTGCAGTCAGCAATCGCTAAAAGAGTATGAATACCACGGGCTTCATTGAACGTATTATGTCTTAGCA